AAAAAAAAAATAAATTGTAAAAAAGATCTCTTCACCTAGCTCTAGGTCCTAGTGAAGATTATCACTTGTTTTCTTCTCAAAGTTTTCCAGTTTTATGTTTTACCTTTAAATCTATGATCTATTTTGAGTTCATTTTTGTATTGTGACTTAAGATCCTTTTTAATTTTTTTATGGATGCCCAACTACTCCATTATTATTTATTGAAAAGCCTATCCTTCATTGAATGCTCAAAAATTAGCTGGCCATACTTGTGCAGGTCTGTTTCTGGGGTCTTTCTTCTGTTCCATTGATCTACTTGTCTCTCTCTCTGCCATGTTGTCTTAATGCAGATCTGCAGCAACTCTTAAAATCAGGGAAGGTGAGTCTTCTCACTTTATTCTTGTTTTTCAAAGTTAGCTACTTCTTTGCCTTTTCATATAAATTTTGAAGAATGTCATCTCAAAAAAAAAAACCCTGTCAGAATTTTGATAGGAATTGCATTAAACCCATAGTTCAATATGGGAAGAAATCACAATCTTTACCTATTGCTGAGTCTTCTGATCTGAGAATATGACCATGTTTCTCCATTTATGTAAGTCTTTGATTTCTTTCATCCAGTGTTTATTGATTTTCAACACACAAATCTCATGTTTTGTTAGATTTATGTTTCATCTTTAGAGTGATTATATAAATTTTGATTTTCATGTGTTCATTGCTACTATATAGAATACAATTAATTTTTATATTCATCTTGTAACCTGTGACTTGATGAACTCATTTAGTTCTAAGTTGTTTTTTTTTTTTTGTAGATTCCTTGGGATTTCCAAAATCTCCATGGGATTTTGATAATTTATAGGTTATCAAATTTATAAATAGGGACAATTTTCTTTTCAGTCTGTGTGTTTAATTTTATTTCCTTTTTCTTGCTTTATCCTATTGTGCTGGCTAGGAGTTCCAGTTTGATATTGAACAGGAGTGGTGAGAGTGGATATCCTTGCCTTGTCCTGATCTCAAGGGTGAAGCACCTAGTCTTTCACACATTACATGTTAGCTGTCGGGTTTTTTGTAGATGTTATTTACCAAGTTGAGGAAGTTACCCTCTTATTTCTAGCTTGCTGAGAGTTTTTGTCATGACTAAATGTTCAATTTTGGCAAGTTTTTTTTCCATCAAATGATAAGATCATGTCTTCTTTCCCATAGGTTTTTTTAAATACTGAAAAAAGCTTAGAGACTTCCCTAGACTTCAGACTAGGGCCCTGGGAACTCCGTTGCTATCACTGGTCTAGTCCAGCACTGCCCAGTGTGCCCCAGAGAATGCAATTTGAGCACTACATGTAGCCAAACAAGCCCAATATAGGAAGTGTTGCTCACAGTATCCATTCCTAGAGGCTTATAATACACAGCATAACCAAGGCTCAGAGAAGCCCTGCAACATAGGCTCCTATTACCTTTAGTGTGTTATTTCCCAAACTTGTTTAACCACAGAACCCTTCTTAATCCCCCTTATGCTCCCATAGCACCATCTCTGAAACACAGAGAACCACTCAACTAACTGTCCCTTATTTTGTAGTTGATCCAGAGGCTGAAAGAGAAGTGACCTGACCAAGGCTACAGATAGTGGCTTCACAAAGACACCAGGTCCTGGGTCTCCTGACCCCAGCTCACTGCTCCTGCTCCAGATCATGTTGCTTTGACATGCTAACAAGTCAGCGGATATCCTTGCAGCACCATATACCATCATGGGTAAGAGGAATGTAACTGCATCACCAACCTGGTCCTTGGGTGGTTCTCAGGCCCCTAGTCCCCACTGAGCCTGGGGATAAGGGACTTAGGTTCATGTAGTCTTAGTAGGGCCTGTGGGTGGGAGGGTATGTAATGCAAGTCAGGCCAATCATGCTGGTGTAGCTCCCTGGTATGGTAGTGAATGGCTCAGGGATGTACCCGCAATCCAAACTGGGTCTAACAAGACTCCATCCCAGAAATCCCATTAGAATTCCAGGGGAAAAAAATGGTTTTCCCATGGAATGATGCCAAACTAGAAGACACTGAACTAGAGCTACCAAGAACCACCACACAGAAGCAGCTCCTTCAAAACAAAGTTGTAAAATGAAGGAGACCTTGGTTTATAACATGCCCAAGCCCAATCCAGTCATGCTTGAGGCAGAACCTACCTCCAGAACTGAAATGACAGACCAACAAATAACGCTTTCCTAAAACCAGTTTGATGGAATTCTGCCACTTGCCAACAGAATCCTGCCTAATTTGAGTGTGAAGCAGATGGCCCAGAATGTCATCACTAACCTGGCTTGGCAGACCCTCTTGATCAGGAAGTACCCCCAAGGTGCCACAGCAGAGAACAATCTTTATTGCCCACCTCATCCCTATCCCCTGCCCACTCTCAGACTGACATTACCCCCACTTCCCACCAAAAGAACACAGGTAGCCAAAGGCAGCTTGGGCAGTACTTGATATACATCATACATTTATTAGTGAATATCCCTCTGAAATCAGCAACAATATTAAAAAAAATAATGATTGCACTACTTGGTCAAGCAGAACTAGCAACTTTCGTTTTAAAAAAAGTACAAATCTGTTAAAAATTTCAATCAGTATACACATATATATAATACAACATACTAGTTATGTTAAATGCTACAAACCAATGTGAATCCAATGGAATGGAAAAAACCACACATTTAAGCTTTAAGAACCATTTTTTTCTCTATATATTAGCATTTTCTCAAATACATACATGGGAAAAATGAGGTAACTGTAAAATGTGCAAGGAACAGGGCCCCCCCAAATTACATATATTTTTATATATATATGTAATTAAATATATATATATATATATGTGTGTGTGTATATATATATATATAACCTTTCTAACACAGAACACAGGTGCTGGGCCCAGCCAGGGCTGGGGGATGGTGCCCACTGTCATGCCTAGGCCAGAAGTTGGTAAATAAAAGAGTAAACAATGACAAGCCCCCACCACAGGAAATCATTGGTAACATGGCATCTATAGCAAGGTCGGCAAATCACAAACATCCTAAATAATTGTTTTATAAATCTTTTTTTTAATGATTTTTTTAAAGTGTTGTGTTTCCCCCCCCATAGCTGCTCGTTGGAATCATTGCTGCAGCCGACACACAATCCGTGAACCTGTTTCCGCCTGCCCCAGGAACCTTAAGGATTCTGAAAACCTTTTGTTGGGGTGGGAAAGGGAGGGGGGGGTTTGGAGAGGGTGGTTCTCTGTGTAAAACACGTGGGGTTTCAACACTGCTATAAATATAGAAACATCACCTGGAGTTTTATATACAGTAAGACTTTGGGTTCTCCATGGGGGTGGGGCCAGGCTGATGGGGCCCCATGGCAGGCTGAGGGGAGGCAGGGAGCCAGGGCCGCCGCAGGGAGAACGAGGGTGGTTGGAGCATCCCTGAGGCAGCAGGCGCCAGGGGCTGCCTGCTAGGATGTGCCGGCCCCACACGCGGTTCGTTCGGGGCAGCAACCCCAGCTGGGGGTAGGACGGGAAAGGAATGGGACTGGGGAAAGAGAAGGTGGGAGCTCAGCCAGACCGTATAGGGGGCCTCCTCCAGACCTTGGAGGGCAGGACTCAGGCTGGGAGGGGGCCCCTGGAGATGGGGTCCACGCCCTCCCTGGTCCCTGTCCTCCTGGGACTTCCTTGGAGGAGACTCGCCCAGTCAGGTGGGAGACGGGCCCTGGCTGGAGGGAGAAATGCCCTGAAAAGCGTACGGTCCCGGTAGGCTCTGGGGACGTGTGCAGTACAGTGCATGGCAGTTATCAGCTGAGCACAGACCACCCCCCAACCCCACCCATGACTGCCAGCCGCCCAGCCCAGCCCCAGCCGCACACATGCATGCAGACCAGGCGGCATCACCAGACCATTCCCGGCCCCCTGGGCACTTGGTCCTGGTTGGTCCCTATATCCCCCATTAAACCAAAAGGAAACAAATTATTTAAAAATCCACACCCCCAAATCCTGCACGCGGTTTTGGGCCAAATGAATAAACAAAAACTGCTGCTCCTCACGTTCATGCAAAACAACAGAGAGGGGACATTGGGCGTGTGTCTGGCCGCCATCACTGCCAGGAAGGGGTGGCCACCAGGAACACAGGAGGTCTCTCTCCCCTGCATGGCCCAGGCCTCCTCAGGATACAGGCCACCCCAGCTCAGGGCCTGTCTCCCATCTGCTCAGGAGGCTGGCTCTGATATCTTCCAGCCTGGGGGTGGGCTGGAATGTTGTGACTGGGGTGAGGGTCCTTAAGGGAGCCAACCCTCACAGCAGCCTGGGTAGGACTGGCTGCCTGAGTCTGTCTGGGGTCAAAGCAAGAGGACCCAGGCCTGGGGCTCAGGAAATGGCCTCATGCCACCCTCTGTCCGCACGCCTGTCAATGCCACCCAGTCAGACGGCATACCATTTCAGTGCAAGAGACCAGGCAACCCAGGACGGAGCCCTCTTTGCCCATCCTGGGGCTGAGGATCTCCCCTAGCTGAGCTTGGGGGGATAGACCCCTGGTTCCTAGGGTTGGCAGGAAAAGGAGACGGACTCGAGGGCGAACAGGAGGGAGACTGAGTTAGGGACACTCAGGCAGCTCCGTGGTGGGCAGACTGGCAGGCAGTTCGGGGCAGGAGTCTTTGGAGCTTGGCAAATGCAGGGGCTTATTGCAGGGGCTTCTCTTGGGGCTGACCCTGGCACCAGCTCTGGAGATGCAGGCGGGAATGACGGGGCAGGCCTGGGCCACTCCCTCCCCGTCCTCCCCAGGTCCCCCCAACCCGAGCTTCCAGAGCTTCGGGCAGGGTTTATCCTGGGCGGCTGTGGGCCTCACTCAGCCTCCCTGGGCACCTCGGAGGCGTCGGCCCGGCAAATGGGACACGTCCGGTTGGCCTGGGGGAGCAGCCACACATCAGGCTCCACTCTTGCCTGTCCCCCACCCCAGCTGGGTCTGTTCTGCTTCTGGGACTTGACCCCTGAACAGAGCCTGGACTTCTAGATGATGACAAGAAGGGAAACCCTCCAAGGTCCACCCTCCTCCCTCACCACATGATGAACACCTGGAATCTGGCCTGGGCTGCATTACCTTTAACCACTTGTCGACACACTTGGTGTGGAACTCGTGGTTGCAGGGGAGGACTCGGAGCAGCTGCCGTGCCTCGAAGTCACTGAAGCAGACAACACACCTGGGAGAGGGCAGAGAGCGTCACCTCCACAGTGATGGCAGGGGGAGGCTCATTGCATAGCACAAAACCCCCTAGAGGAAGGGGTCCCCTTGCAGCCCCCCTGTGCTCACAGAGGGGCAGGAGATGGGGGCACAGTACTCACAGTGTCTGCTCTGACTGATGGCTGTCTGGGTTAAAGCGGTATGATGGGAGCTGCTCGATGTCCGCTTTGGTGAGGCCCCGGGGCTTGGCATCTCCTAGCCGCTCTGCCAGGTTCAGGAGGGCCTGTATCCAGGCAGGAGGGGAGGGTCATTAATGCTCAGGGCCGGAGGTCCCCCAAGCTCCCACCTCCCAGGACAGTGTTCCACGGGACCTCATAGTTCTCCATCTCCACGTCATCCACATCGAGATCCAGGCTGATGGTGGGCCCCATTGCTGTTGGTGACATTGGCAGCATCGAGCTAGGGGGGGGAGACAGGTGTGGGGGGCCCAGGGTCAAGGTCAGTAGGTGTAGGGGGTGCAGAGCTGCTCCCGACTCCCTCTGTGAAACAAAGCCCAGAGCTCTGCACCGTTCACACCAGGGACTCCAGTGTTTGTCCCAGGACATTGTAAGAGGGCCAGGAACCCAGCTGGTGAGTGTTGAGAATGTGTGTGGTTTGGTGGGGATGCCAGATGGCTTTAGAGGCCCCAAGCACCCCATGGGGCTTTGGGTCCAACAACTGGAGGTCCCAGGAGACCAGAGCACCACGGCTCTGGGGCAGATGTGCTGGTACTTACAGGAAGTAGGGCAGGAAGCTGGGGTAATACGGTGGCGGGGGTGGCGGTGGGGGTGGCGGGGGCAGCGGCTGTTGCAGGCGGTATCTCTGAGTGCTCAGTCTCCGTGGCATCATGTGGGAATATGGCTACGAGAGGGGTGCCAGGTGCAGGTCAGCCCAGCGGGCCTGTTTCCTGATCACCCTAGAGTCTAGCTGGGGGCGCTACTTACCACACCGAAAGACAGCTCCTGGTGCAGTGGATCATGGGGCAGGTAGTGCAGGGGCACAGATGGGGACAGGGCTGGGCCTGGGGCAGAGGTGGAGTAGGTGAAGCTCCCCAGGGGGTGCTGGTCCCCCCGCAGGTCCACATCGTTGTCAAGCCGCTGCAGGGGCTGGAAGAAGTGGGGGTGGGCCAGCCAGAGTCAGTAAGGAGGGAAGCCCCGCCCCCCATGCCATCCCCTATAGCATCAAACCCACTGCCCAGACTCACCATTCGCGGGTGCTGGGCCTGCAGCGATACAAACTGCCCAAGAGGTGCCATGTGGGCGGGCTGGGGGTGTGGGGCTGGCGGTGGGGGGTGCAGGATGTAGTGATCACTGGAGATGAGGTGGGGGTAGGCCTGATAGGGCACAGGGAGCTGCTGCATGGTACACGCCTGGATCAGCTGCCAAGAGAGGGAGGGGTTGGGAGGCTGCAGAATGTTCTTCTAGGCTCTCGGTTGGGCCTATGCCTGTGCCAAAGGCCAGGGGTCATTCCATCCATCGAGAGGTCCCCAATGAAGCCCTCTGGCCCCTCCTACCCCTGCCAGAGGCCACCCAGGCAGGACACTACACTCTTAAGGCCCATAGTTACAATTCCAAACCATAAGGCAGGCACTGGGGTGCAGGAAGGTCCCTGAACCCTGAGGTGCCCTCTCACTATTCGTGAATGCACACATGCCTTTTCTGGGCAGGGTTGAGGCCTGGAGCTGGGTAGGTGCTCTGATAGCCTGGATGGGTGTCATAAGCTCGGCTTGCTTCTGCTGCTGGCCTATGTCTGGGGCTTTCAAGTGGGGATGGGGCAGGAGGTGGAGGCACTCACTCACCGGGGGTGGGAGGCAGCAAAGGGGGTAGTGCTGACCGCTGAACATCACGGAGCATGCTGGGAGCTGCTGGGCACTGCAGCCAGGGATGTGTTGGCTTGCAGGCAAGGGGAAGCCTTGGGTTGTCACTGTGGTGACTGTGTAGGACAGAGGGACGGGTCCCTGGTGCACCTGTGGGTAGAGAGAAACCCAGGAAGTGTAGGGAGGAAACGGCCATGCTGCTGCCCCCAAATGAGAAAGCCCTGCTGGGCCACCTCCCTTCCCTTCTCTAGCTGGGTCCTACCTAGGTACACACCTGCCTATATCCCTGTCCCAAGCTCTAGAGGGCAGAGAGAACCCTCTGGGAACCTGGGAGGGGCTTCCAACTCTATCACTCATCCACTGTGTAGTCCCAAGGAAGGCCCTTCCCTTCTCTGGGCCTCAATTTACCAACCTGTAAAATAGGGCTAATAATGCCTCACTGAACATGCAAAGAGTTAAGGGGAAATCAGGGTTCTGCTACCTCTGGTCCTCAGACAGACTTGCCAGAGGCTGGTGGGGAGAGGCCAGCAGGGTGGGGAAAAAGAGGTGATGAGTATTGTGCCTACCTGCTCGTGGAGATCAACCATGAATGGGCTCTGTTGGGAGGCTGGGTGCAGCATTCGGGGGCTCCTGCCGGCAGGAGCCGAGGCTCGGTGCTCCTCTACAGGGAGGTGTGGTGGTCGGGGTGGTGGCTGCTGGGAGGGTAAGCGCTCATCCTGGGCAGGCAGTCTGGCCAGGGGGCCCTCGCGGCCGGGGCTGCACCACAGAGAGGAGGCCCCAGTAGGACTGAGGGGAGCCACTCATTCAGAGAGCATGGAGAGAAGCCAGGTCACTACCCACTAGGGAAGGAAGACCACTCAGGGCCCTATGCCCTGCCACCCCTGGTCCCTATGCCCCAACCCAAGCTGACAGCCCTAGTACCGGGGGCTCTAGGCTCTGTAGGACTAGGAGATTCCTTCCTACCTTCCCCGGAGCTGGCCCGGGGTAGTGCCGGGTCCTACAGAGAATCGCCGCTGACCCACAGGGGCAGAGGGTGGCCACCTAGTCACTGCCAGAGCCCATGGTCGCATCAGGGGTGGCAGAGGGGTGGAGGGGCTGAGCCAGGGTTCACAACCCTATGAGGCAAACAGATAAACAAACTGAGGCACACAGAAGTCCAGGCACTTGCCCCATTAGGGATTGCGGAGACAGAATTAAACTTCAGCAGTCTGATTCTAAGGGCTACTGATATCCACCACGTCCCTGTACTCCATGTGCAGTGTACACTCTGGGTCTGGCCTTCTTTTTGAGCACTGGGGATCAGGGATGACAGATCAGGAACAGGGAGCCCAGGTCTCAGTTTCCTGCTCTACGAAATGGGATCAAGTTCCCCTTCAGGGTTGTGGTGAGTTAGGAGGGCTGGCCAGCATGCTTCCAGGCCAAGTGGCTCCAGTAAGGCTCCCTCAGGATGGGGACCCCAGGCACCCTGTTCTGTTGTGGCGGTCTACAACTTCAACCTCCAGGAAGCTGGGGTTCCTGGTAGGGCACTCCAGCTTCCTCCCTCCCATTGGGTCGGCTCTGGGGGGGGATTCCAGTCAGGCCTTCTCTTTCCACTACTGCCAGGTAAGAGGTTCTGACCCAGTTCTTGCCCTCAGGGGCTCCCAATTCAAGTCAGTTTGTTTTCTTTCTTTCCATAACCAGCTCCCACAGTGCCTACCCACATGTGACTTCATTTACTCTTCAAGGTCCATTTCAAAGAATAGAAAACTGAGGCTCAAAGAAATTGAAAGGGACTTGCCCAAGTGTCAAAGCTGGGAGGTGAGCTGGCCACAAGCCTCTCACTGCACCCTGCTGCCAGCAAGAAGGGGTCCTGCCCAAGCGCTTTGCAGGAGGTAATGAAGGAAGCGGCCACTGGTGGGTGGGTGAGTCTGGCATACAGCCAGGCCCTTGCTCTGGGGGCTTAACACAGCCCCCAAGTGGCAGTGGGGCTTGCTGAGAAAAAAGGGGAAGCAAGAACCTAAAGGAGGAAGTTGAGTGGTAATGGGTGGGGCAGGTCTCCTCCCTCTGGTAGGAGCTGGGGGTCCAGGTGGGATAAGCTGGGGGACCATTTATTAACTCCAGAGGTTGGGATGAGGCCCTGGCAAAGAAAACTCTGGAACCCGTCAGGCCTTGCAGAGCTGAAGGCTGCATCAAATAGGACCAGCCCTTTGCTGTTCCTGCCACAGGGAGGCCTCCTCCGTCCGCCCCTTCTCCATCTGACAAAACTCCTATGCATCTCTGACAGCCAGCTTTCAGTGTTACCTCCTTGCTGACACAGCTAGGGAGCCAGTGCACCATATCCTCAATGCCTTGTTCCTTCCTGCTAGCAGTGGCAAGAACACCTCCTCTGTGCTCGGCTTTACAAGCCTGGACCCTAACTCTCAAAGCCAGTCTGCAGGGGAAGCTCGCCATGGCCACAGCCAGAAGTGTAAGAGCTGGAGTTCACATTTCTCCCGCCTAACCTGGGCTCTGGCACTTGGCCGAAGGGCGGACAGAGCCCAGTGACCAGCTTGTGGCCAGCACTGATGTGGTAAATGTACACTTGAGAGCCAATCACACAGTCTGGCAGGAGTGAAATTGGTGCCCATGATTGAAAACTGGGAGATTACATAAAAATCAGGTCTTTCCTGAGAGGAAACAAAAGCAGAAAATCTGGTCCCATTAGGCCCTCGTTTCTGCTGGGTCCCCCTCACCGGAGCACGAGCTTTCTCTCCAGGCCACCCAATGCCCATGCTCTACCTGCCCACCATAGGTGACTAGGTTTGTAAGCCCCGGTGTGAGCAGAGTGCACATCCTTACACACGTGTGTACACCCACAGCCTTCCTGATTCTTGCTGACAATTCAGCCGAGCAAACAAAGGCCAAGAGAGACTCAGAGTACACCCCTAAATATCTGAAACAAGAAACTCCCAGGCCACTCCAGACCTTCTGGATCAGAATCTTTGGAGGGTTGGGGAACAAGGTTATCTAGACATTTTACCAAATTCTCCAGCAGTTTCTATGGCACAGCCAGGTTTGGGCACCTCTGCTCTAACTGACCTCAGAGATCCTGGGAGACCACAGTCCTGCTGATGAAAAACATCAACAGTAATAACTATGACACTTCACACATGCCATCTTGAGTACTCACAGCAGCCCTCAGAAGTAAGGACACTGAGGCCCAGAGAGGTGAGGTCCAGAGCCTGTCAGCCAGAGTTGTGAGTGCACTAGGACACGACCCAGTGGCTTCAATTGCTCCTCTTGTGCAAAAGTCTGGGGGGCGTGGATGCCACAGAGGCCCAGGCACATGGGAATCTGCTCTGGCCAGCCCCTTCAAAAACACCCATTCCTCAGGAAAAGGAAGTAGCAAGGAGCTGAGAAACCAAACCAGCAGTCCAAAGGGCCTCCAGCTATAGATGATGGTGCCAAAGTTTACACACGATACCCCGACTCTGGCCAGAGTCTTGGCTGAGGATTGGGCGCGTCACTTCCCCGCTCAGCCTCAGCTTCTTCACCTCTAAGATGGAACAGCCAGATAACCACCTGCCAGTGGACTGGCAAGGGCTGCTCAAAGGCAGAGGTGATTGGCAAAGTGGAGGTGTGAGTGATCACTATTATAAATTGAGAGAGGCTGACCTCCACAAACAGAAATCAGGTGCCACTTCAAGCTCTGCAGGAGATAGCTGGGAAATATGCCTCCCTAGGGGAAAACCCCAGCTGGTAAGGGAGGGACCCCTGGTTCTTGGAAGTCCTACTAAGAAAAGAGGTTGTGCAGAGGAGACACACCCACTTCATATTTGAGGAAATTGAGACCCAGAGAAAGGAAGTAACTTGCTCTAGCCCACAAAGCCAGAGAAAGACTGAACTAGTTCTCCTTGGCTGGCCACCTAGGCCCAGATTCCCCCAACCCCTGACTCTTTAATTAGCATCAGTAGCCCCCAATAACCACCTAATCCCAACTAATTTCAGTCCCTAAAGGAGATGGAGAGTTTTCTGTTTTAGGCACTCACTACTAACCCTATTGTGGTGAATGAAACAAGTGAGGCCCAGAGTTGGAGGCAGCAACTTGCTCAAGGTCAAACTGCAAGGGTGGCCAGGTGACCACCCCCAATTTCTCTGCCTTTCCATAGTCCTCTGTGCTGTGCTTTCAATGAGGTCTGAGTAAATGGGTCTGCAGGGTCCCATCCCTAAATCCAACCTTGCCTGGAAGCAGGCACCACACTTTGCATCCACCCCTTCCCCCAGGACGCAGCCAACTCCCTACTTCCAGTGCCCCATGTAACTATCCTAGTCCAAGTCTAGGGAACCCCTGCCAAGTCATTTGCCCCGGGGGGAATGTTTGCCTGAGAGCCTGAGTAGATTCAGGCACGATGAGAAGCCCGCCCCCCCCGCCCCCTCCATGGGGCAGGCTAGGCCATTACTGCTGGTGGGCAAACAGAGCTCTCCAAACGTGTGCTGCCTGGAGGGAGTTGAGGACAAGACTATCAGCCTCGGAGCTAGGAGTCCTCGGCTAGCCCAGGTTCCCTAGATGACCTTGGTCAAGGAAATCTCTCCGCTTCCGTGAGCCTCAGTTGTCACAGCTGTGAAATGGGGATGGAAATCTCTCCTTCCTAGAACGCCCAAATAAAGCCAGAAGGAACAAGACGCAAGAAACCAGGTGGTCACATTAGCGGGGGAGGAAACCAGTGTTCCTGAGGGACGGGCCCTTCCTCAACGCGGGCCAGACGCAGGTTGCGGGGCTCTGGGGAGCTTCCTCTGCCACCCCTCCCCGGGGATGGGGGGCCAAGGTGCAGACACTCGCCCGGGGAGGAGACCCCCACGTCCCCCCCTCACTCATTTATGCCGCGCTCGGAAGGACATGGGGGGCGGGAGGCCAGACTGCGGCGTTGGGGCCAGAGCGCTGTGACTTTAAGAGCCGAGGATCCCGGACCATGTGCTCGGCGTGAGACAAAAGCAACAACAAAGGAAGTGGCGGCGGCAGGGGGAGGGGGCGGCTCCTTCCTCTCCAACCGCGGCACTCAGCCCCGGGAGAAGGAAGACTCGACCTGGCCTTGGGGGTTGGGGGGAATCCTCCTCGATTCTAGAGGTCTCTCCGTCCCCTCTCTGGACCGCCCGCGATTAACCCCTGCGGAGCCAGCTAGATCACAGCCCCCAGTCCCAAGGGAGGGGGACAGGCGTTCCAGGGATGCGGAAATAGGGAGTTGGGGCTCTAGCCCCTACTCACCTTCGGCCGCCAGGCCACACGTTGGCTCCTTTGTTCCCGATCTAGGACGGCCAAGCTGGACAGAAGGGAGGGGGGCTGCCTGGACCCTTTAAGAGCCCCCGCCCTGCGGAACAATGTGCTCCCCTCCCCACCCCCCGGTCCGGGTGCAGTCCAGCTCCTTCCGGGGTTCTCTCTTTGTTGTCGGTCCGCCGGCGTCCGCCTCGCGAGGCCCACGCGCGGTCTGCCTCTCTCAGCCCAGGCCCTCCGGGAGCGGGAGGCGGCGCAGGACGCGGCCGGGTTTGCGCAGCTGCAGGCGGCTGGCCCTTTAAGAACTGTCCGCGGCGGCAGCGGAATGTAACAAACCCCACATTTGATTCACAACATTCGAAGCGGCGGGGTCGCGCGCCGGGCGGGAGGGGGGCTCGCGGGGGCGCGCCGGGAGATTCCAGCAAACAGTAGCCGGCTGCTGCCCGCGGCAGCCCCGCCAAGAGCTCCGCCCCGCGGGGACTATGAGAGCCAATCACTCACCGCGACTCGGCACGTGATTAATGGGACGCCATCTTGGAAGGCAGATTTTCTTTAAAACCTCCTTCTTGCCCCCACCTTTGCACTTAAAGTGACCGCCGTCATCACAAGCAAGGGGCGGGGCCACATGGCCTGAGCTAAAGATAGGAGACCCCGGGGTGGGCAAGGACAACCGGCTGCAACTCGAACTTGCTATGCAAACTCGCGAACCACTCGCGCCTCTGAGGCTCAGTTTCCCTGCCAGAGAAATGGGTCCCCCTAGGAGAGCCGCAGCCCGGACTTACTGTGTCATGGTCTTCTCTTCGGGGACGGGGCGCCGCCTGGGACACTGAAGTGCAATGGGACTGACCTTCGACGGGGCAGGAGCGGCCTTCTTAAGCCAGCCCAACTGGGTTAGGAAGGCTCTAACAGCCTTGGGTCGGCAACCTCCCCGGAGATGACGTCAGCCCCAAGAGCTACCGCGCCGCGATGACATCATGGCCTGGCCGCCCTGCATCTCCTTGTTTATACTACGCGGCAGCTTTAAAAAGCTGGGACGGCCTGGGTTGCCCAACGGACCAATAGCGGGTAACCCACGCAAACGAGCTAACGCCTGCGGGGCAGGGGGATTGGTCCTGCTTGCGCTGACGCCACAGAGACATTTAACCGCCCCGCCCCCAGCGTGGCCCGGGAAAGGGGCGGGGAACAGTTTGAAGCAGGAGCTGCAGTTGTCCGGCGCTCTGGTAGCTCTCGGCGCGTGGCCAGTAGAGCTTGGTCTTCCCCATGGAGGGCTCCCTGCTTAAGGGTGTTGGGAAACTAAGCCCAAAGAAATCTTCAGTTTCCTACTGTACTCCTCCCCGCAGCGATGAAGCGGAGGGATTACTACAGCATTTTACAGATGAGTCAAGAGGATCAAGGGGGGGTGTCACTCACTCACCCCAGGTCACACAGCTATGAAGGGTGGCTGAACAGGTATTTGAACCGAAACTACAGCCAAGCTTCGTTCCCCTTTGCCTTCATACCGGGGCAGCATTATACAAAGTGGGATATTACCTCCACATCGATTATTTAAGAAAAAAAAAAAATCAGTAACACTCTTAAATATCCAAGAGCTGGGCACAGGCTGAAAGGAATCATGTGTGCATATGATCAATAACTGGACTCCTCCGCATGGGGCTGCACTAACATAGGGCTACCTCCCTAAACAAGGTGCCAGTGCAAAATGTTAACATTTGTTAAACCTGTGTTTAGGGCTACTGGAGGTGTGATGGTGTCATTTTCTATGCTTCTTTGGTGTAGTTCATAACCCCAAATTTAAAAATAAAAATGGAAGGGGCGCCTGAGTGGCTCAGTCGTTAAGCGTCTACCTTCGCCTCAGGTCATGATCCCAGGGTCCTGAGATCGAGCCCCGCATCGGGGTCCCCGCTCAGCGGGAAGCCTGCTTCTCCCTTTCCCACTCCCCCTGCTTGTGTTCCCTCTCTCGCTGTGTCTCTCTCTGTCAAATAAATAAATAA